ATGGCTTACATCCTGACTGTCAGACGAACATATTCTGCACCGATACCGCTGCGTTTCTTCCCCATTAATAAATCCACAGTTTACACACGACGCTGGAATATAAAACACAGGAACCGGTCGACCTGAGGCAAAATACGCTGCCCTCTCATTTGCTCATCATTTGCATTTGCTTAATAAAGGTAGAATTATAGTCATGAAGGCTACATCAAAAACGAGAAGATGAAAACAATCATTTTTTGAGGTACATCGATAAGGTATAAACACTTTTATTCAAGGTCAATAATGTAAGAGGGCAAATCAACTTAATCACATTAAGCAAAAACAGTGAAGAAAGAAATCTGCGCATGTATCACAGAAATGCGAATAGCTACAAGCTAAAATAACATTATGTACAACGGGAGCGGAAAAATGGTACCCAAACTGCGATAGATGGGCTAACAACAACTGTTGCCTATTCACAAAAGTCTAAGAATCTAATATTGCCCAGATAATGACCCGAAAGGGAAATGACAACGACTACTGCTAGAATCCTGATGAAGTACTGTATTCTTTGCCTTTACGGTAAGTTTCGGGACTAAGTTGTAGCTCAATACAGACATCGTTCACTTCGTAAGGATTCAGAATTCGAAAATGAAGCTCAGGGAACTATCTATGCCGCATCATTATTACCACTATTACAGTACTTATTCATGACCCTAAGAGCTTAGTCTATAGAAAGTATGCAATAAAGACAGAAACTTCAATTACAGCAAATAATTAGGCCACAAGGTTGTGATATTGTCAGAGAAAACTACATATCATTGTGGAGCGTCTTTTATCCGTAGCAGAAAGATGCGCAAGCAACATGGGTCATTATCCACACCGAAGCGAGGAGCGCTGAAAGGACGAGGACGGAATACAATTTTGTGAAAACGGGAACGGTCATTTAGAACGGAACGGATAAGAGCTATTGAGGATGGTTCAGAGTATAGCAATCATATTTAACAGAGAAATCAAGAACATGCGTCGCACGAAGTGGCAGGGAAAACCAGTGACTTTCTGGACACGATGCATATAATACAGAGTAAATTTTAGACAGTGAACAGTTCCCTCTTTAATACATTTGCATGACGAGATTTTATGAAAATGGAAAAAGTCGGAGATTAGCCTCAAAATTCAAAAAACACTTCAAGCAAAGCGCAAAAAACAATCCAAAAGAAGTACCGGTCGAACAACGCGTTAAAGTTCCGCGGATTACTCGTATTCTGGGACCTTATTGCACGAGTTGTTTTTCTTTCGGATTACTACCGTACCACGCTGACGTTTGACAACTTCTAGGCGATAGTGTAACAACATGCGATTGAACTGAAACCATAAAGCTATAATTAAATAGATTAGAAAAGCTTCCTAAAGAAAAAAAAACAATGTCCAGAGGGGGAAAACGTTTTCAAATGGAGGAGTTCTGGTCAGAACCATGAAAAGGACTTGAACAAAATAAAGAAGCATGCGGAGCACAACACTATTCACGCAGCGCCTTCGTAACAAAAGCAAACGCAAATTCTGCTGTCACTTGCAAGCGTACGAGTTCTTGTTGCCTTTCGAACATGTTAAGTGGGATTTTTCAAACGGGCCTAACGTTTTGATTGAACGGTTATTCTCAGTGTTCTCAGAATTCGACAATTTCACACAAGCTTTCACTTTTGAAGCCTCACAAAACGCTTCGAAAGATGAGACTATCGGCCTCACAGAACGACGATTCAGTCGAAACATTGGGTCAGCTGAAGAGAGGTTCCATCTAACAAGCTTGTTATAATACACAGAAAATATAGTACCCATGCAATTAACATTCAAGGTCGCAGAAACAGGGAAGCCAGAAAATTCTGTTGCCAATACCTGAATTGAATTTGGTCGATCCTTAATGCGAAACTCGATGCCCATTTCTCCTCGACCACCCTCAAGCGCAAATCTTTCCAGACGTCGTTGCAACTGAGACATTTGTAACTTTTGCTGCAGTCGACGACCTCGGCGCTCGTCTAGTGGATCCTTCAAATAAATAACGAGTAGAAAACGACAAAAGAAAACGGAAGATGTCATAAAAAGAATGGATACGGTTCACAAAGAACGGCTGTGCCCAAGGTCATTTCCGAAAACAAACTTTTTTGAATGACCAAGACCACTTTCAGTGCTTATCGAATAAATCATGAGCAGCAGCACTTCAACAAAAGTTTTTGCAGTATTTGTAGTACTTTGAAGCTTCTTCTACTTGAAAGTCACAACGTTAAAAAACACCATCACGGCATGGAGCACGGTTTTCGTTGCAACGCTCTACTTAAAATTATTGTGCCTACAGTGGTACAGAAAAGGAAAGAAGTGATCTCACAAAGTCACCCTCGGTCACGGAGGGGGCGTACCCGACCCAGTCGCTTTGTTCATCGTCAGCATCAGCAGCAGTGTTTCCTTCGCTTTCGCTTGTTGACGAAAGACAAGATTCTGCTCCGTCCCATTCCATTCTGCTATCTAAAAATGACTGGATGAAGTGCAGGTACCCGTTAGAACCGACAAAATATTGAGCAAACACAGTTTTAGGTTTGAATTGTTTTTTAGTATTTTTGTCTTACGGAATTTCTAGAGATGCAGCTTACTTAACTGTCTGATGTTCGGTGTATCGCCTCCTCGAAATGAAAGTTTTTCGAGTTCAAAGGATTAACTGTAAAACTTGTTCCACACCAGTAGTTAGTTAACGCTTCCGATAGAAACATTTGCTTTGATGTTGCAGCGCTAACGTTGTCACCCGTGAAAGGGAAATAGTGACAAAATATTTTGGAGCATTTATGGGTTGCCTTCGATGGAATTGCAGCAATGCAGTACATCGCTCACTACACATATCTCACCTGACGTGAAGATAGCAAGTTAGGAGATGGCCAGAAAGTGTTTAAAAGGGGCATTACGGACAAAACGAGCTAAATACAGACCATCTAGTGAATGAGCACATGAAATAACAAAAAAAAAGAATACTCCGTTACTGCTCGAGGAGAAAAGACGTAAGCACTACGCCCAGATCCTTCATCTGTTGGTCAACAGCACTCTTTATATTGTATAACACAGAGAGGCACCAAAATTTTATTTCAAAAGAATTCCAAAAGTTCAGAAAGTTCAAAAATTCCAAAAACTCAAAAGTTTCAAAAGAGCAAAAAGCTATTCGAAAAAGAATCCTTTTGAAATCCTCCGCGATATTTCGGATTTCAAAAGGATTCTTTTTCGAATAGCTTTTTGCTCTTTTGAAACTTTTGAGTTTTTGGAATTTTTGAACTTTCTGAACTTTTGGAATTCTTTTGAAATAAAATTTTGGTGCCTCTCTGTGTTATACAATATTTAGGTGCTGATGAGGCTCCGGGACAGCACAATATTAAGAGATCTCCATTTATATAGAGAATTACTGAAATGGCGAGTAACGCTACTTCTTTTCAACTAGACAAACGGCTTACCTGGCTTATTTTGAGAGGTAGTTGGTTGAGGATCGACATCCATTTTATAACTGCGCGGACGTCGCACTAAGCGTTTCTTCTTTCTGGAAAAACAAAACCTTAGCACACGAACGAAAGTTAAAGAGAATGGTAATTCTGCCAGAGTTCCCAAACGCATTGAAAGTTTAAATAATTAATGTAGAAAAGCCGATGCCCCTTGCCATTGAATCACCAGGTTGATAAGCGAATCGAACGAACAAATGATACAGCTACATTAAACTTTTTCTTGTTTGTGTGTAGCAAATATGCACTGTTTCGTCTATTCGAAAACTGACCCCTCCGAAAATGTGGCAAATTCGCATCCCACTTTTGTTTGGCCGCTTCCAAATAATAATGCCGAGATTTTCTGAATGCTAGATTGTCATTCGGGTATTTATGACATATAGAGCAGTATTCAATTGCTTAACAACCCCGCGAACATTGGTGTTACCGGTTCGGAATGTAGTAAAGGACTGCTAGAAGTAGATAAAAAAAACGTAAACAAAAACAGCAACTAAATACCTTCCAGCCCTTGGCATGTTTGGAGTTTCTGGAAGTGAATCGGATTCTAAGGTGACACAGGCAACATGCGACACGACTTTCTAAAAATGAAGGCATCAGTAAATGTGGAGGTAGGATCAATGGGTGTGGTTCACTAGGACAGAAAGCGGCTTTTCCGCGTTTTGCAGCGCGAAACACTTTCCGCTGCGGGAACCTCAGATCCACCGCTAACCATCAGTAGATCCGAGGTTCCCGCAGCGGATGATTAGTGGACCTATAATTCCAGCAACGAACAATGTTTCGCGCTGCGAAACGTGAAAAAGTCGCTTTCTGTCCTAGTGAACTACACCCAAGTCATAAAACTTCATGTAAGTGAAGTACCAGTCACCTCGCAATCCTCGTCAAGATTTCCCGACTTTTGTTTAGCATTTTCGTCAACATTCACTTCAGAATCTGTCATTGACCGTCACCTTAATCAAAGCACAATGAAATATGATGAGAATATGAGAGCGTATCATCAAATGTTTAATTCAATTCGAGCAACTAGAGCATTAAAAAAGTTCAATGCAAATTGGAATAGAAAAATGGCCAATGGTGACTCAATGATGCAAGAAAGCGCTTTTTCTCCCTGAACTCATTGCCTAACAACTCAGGATACACACAAAGATGATGGTTAAAATAGAAGTTTACAAATTCTATAGATTCTACCACATCGAGTACCACTTTCCAACGACCACTAGTTCTGATGCTTGCTCACCAAGAATGAAATTGAAAGGTTACTTAAAGATGCCTCTTGACAATCGATCACGACCTCATTTAAGTTTCATTAAATTAGTCTTTAAATCTCACCACAAATTGATAACCTTACTGGTGGGTACATTTGCCCCTAAGTCGAGGTGGGCAAAGCCCTTGACACTTTTTTGAAAGAAAAATGCATCTTTTTGAAAGGAAAAATGCATCTTTTTGAGAATTTGCCGAGGTGACACAGTAAGAAAAGGATTACACGGTGCATGGCTCACTCCTTTGTAAGGGTTAAAGAAAATATGCTTAAGTCTCTCTCCCTGAAATGGACGTCAAAAGTATTTTCGTGTGGACTTGTGCAGAAAAACACACATTTGCTATTCAGGTAGTGGATACACTTATATTCTACTACTTTTTTTTATTGACCATTTGCGTCTTGCTAAAATTAGAAAAGAATTGTGAGGAATAACAGAACTGCTAAATACCGTAACGCTTATAAACCTCTGCTAAATCGAAGCATATCTGACCAAACGCCGACCTATCGTTAACAGTTATGTTATGCTGTAATCCATAGAATGAAAACAAACAATTTGGGAAGAAGTCTAGAAAGCGCGAGGAAGAGGTACGACGCGCAACACGCTTCACAATATCCAGAAACAAAAAAAAAAAAAAAAAAAAAAAACTGTCTGAAGTGCGCGACGCCATCAGTGACACGCTGTCGCTTACTTTTAGCTTAGCGTTTTAATGTAAAGAATCAGACAGCATTCACTTCAGCCCAAGATCTGTTTTAGCGGCGAGGACATAAACGCAATGCTTTGGTTAGAAGAGCCTGTGGTTATGCACAGACGCGACTTCATGGTGTGCTGCAGAATATCCGTCGAAACGAAAAAAATGAGCAATGTGGCCTGGGGTGGGGAGAGGAGGCGGGGGGGGGGGGAGAGGCAGCATGTTAACATCGCGTCAAGATCACGGAAACGCTCAGTCTCAGGACCAAACCTTTGAAGAGGGGAGGTACTCTGGGGTGCGGAAGCAATTTGTATTCCCTGAACTCGACCTTTCTCCTAGGCTTTGATCCTGGAGGGTTCCTACAGAATGCGCCTCGCGGAGCCAAACTCTTTTGAAACACACAGAAACCAAAGGTATCGTAAGGGGGGGCATTGTGGTGCGTTCATACTGCATGGAGTAATCCACTTTTTTCAGGGGAGGGAAGCTCCGGGGTGGGTGTAAAAGTTGAGCGAAATGGTTCACGCACCCCGGGATTCCCTCCCCTTGCAAAAATTGGAATTTCTGTAGCCGGCAAGAACTGTCACACCACATGCCCCCTTACTGGATGAGACCCGAAACGGACAATCACAGTGTAAGTACTGCTCCTGGAAACATGCCGCACAACACAAGAAAACACAGTTTGTAGGTTTGTTTTCCACATCATTCGCATGTTTTCGCTGCTACTCCGATTTCTGTTTGAAAAGACGAGAAACAGTTGTGGTCTCTTCTGTTCAAGGAATAGACGAGAAACAATCGCAACTGCACCTAGCTAGCTAAGATGAGAATAATGGCCAAAAAGTGCTCTGATGAGATGATTGGCGTAAAAAGCATAGGCGAACATTCAGAAAACATTTCTACTCCCACATTAATCCAAAATCTCCGTGAAAGCAGTGGCGTCTTTATTTCAAAATAGGGCGTCACCCCCCTCAAAGACAACATCACGCGTATACCATATTTGCAATGTAGAATGGAAACTCAAGTAATAGGTATAAAATAAGAAGGAACTCCTCTGGGCGATAAGTTTTGAATCGACGACTGCGCGTCGCGTCGGGATGAGCAACAACGTATTATTACACCTACGCCTCCCACCCATACAAATCTCTCTTCAGTCCAAAATTCCCAACTAAAACACCACAATCAGTTGCCCGTCTGCGCCCTCTCAGATGATAGACGCTCTGTTAGACAGCCGTCGATTATACGGCGCGCCAGGCGGTATGCCAATCACGTGACCATTGGCGGCATCTCTGGCTCCTTTGCATTTAACCGAGAAAATCTTTCGCCTTTTACTAAAGATTTCCGTGCAAAGGAGCAATTATGAGTATTTACCAATTTTTGGAATCCCCTCGAAAGAGCGGGATACAAACTCGAGTCGGGGTGTGGGGGAGGGCTCGTGCGTATGATAATTCTCGGAGGAGGATCGTACTTGGGGTTAGCGAGATCAAAAGCTGGTTCCCCTCGGAAGAGCGGGATACAAAATTGAGACGGGTTCATCCACACGACGGGGGAGGGGTGCATGTGATATTTTTTTGGAGGAGGATCCGTAATTGCGCGGCAGTTTTGGCGGAGTCAAATGCTGGTTCCCCTCAATAGAGGCGGGATACAAATTAGGACGGTTCATCACACGCGGGGGAGGGGTGCAGTGAACTATTTTTTTGCGAGGAGCGTCGTATTTGGGGCTGCGAGGTCAAAAGGGCTGCGAAGCACTGGGCTAACCGGGCGGCAGCTGTTGGTATGGTCGGATTCACGAAACTTTTAGTCGGGGATCAAGTGTAGAGGAAAAGAGGAAATTCGAGCCTTCGTAAGTTTGAGATGAAGTGGCGTGCCTCCCCTAAGTTAGTGCAACCGGCACCTCTTAGGGGCTCAACCGTTGAGTTGGCACTGTTCTGAACCTAAAGGCGGGCGGGGGTGTACATTGAGTTTTTTTGGATGAGGATTCAGTAGTTTGGAGTTGATGATGGTCAAAAGCTGAGAGGAATTGGGCTACAGAAGGGGGTTTTCAGAATGTAACATGCGTGGCAGGTTCACGAAAACTTTCAGTTCTGGGAGTAAAGCGTCTGCGAGGGAAAGGGGCAAATTCCGAGCGTTTCGTAGAATTTCATTCGCTCTGGAGGTCCGTCCTTACTGACGTTCGGCTTTACAAGGGAGGTCGTTCAGGGTGTGCCAAGCTTTTTCAAAATGGTTTCTTGCATGACATTGGGGCACATATGGGGACCACAGAAGCATGGTTCATTTTTCCTGAACGCTCTCTCTGAATACCAGAAAAGGGGTCCCTAGTTCGATTCCTCGTGGTGACAAATTTTTGCATTTCGAGTTGACGTTTTCAAAATTCGCGCAAAACGGAGTTAGCTTGAATAATTAGTACCACAGTCCAAATTAGGACCGTCAGTAACCCTTACAAATAGGCTTTGACTTTGGAAAAAAATGGTGAAAAAAGTGTTAGGGACCCCCATTTCTGGTATTCAGAGGACCGTTCAGGAAAAATTAACCATGGTGGTGTGGATTCCCGCATGTGCCTCTATCATCATGCAAATAGACCGTTTTGAAAAAGTTGGCACACCCTTAACGGCCTCCCTTGTTAGTTCTTGAAGAAACTGCCTTATTACAGAAAACCTCTCTCCCCCCCCCCCTCCCCGCGTGCTCCTCTAAAGCTGATGGTGGTGATAAGGGGGGGGGGTTACCTTCAGAAGGAGACGGTAGTGAAATTTTTGAAATTAGAAAAACGGATGTTGATCCAGTTTTGGAATCACAACCTAAGGATTAAGTGTACGCCAGCATGAAATCAGAAGCCTAACTTGGGTTTCGATCATAGCGGAGCCTCTGGGGCCAGATGCTAGCGTTTCAGACGAAGAATTTCAATCTAAAAATTGCCATGGCTTATCGGTCGGCCAATTCGAAAAGAAACACGGAAAACCTTTTATAACAACTTAAGAGCGGAATGTTCAGAAGAGGTCATGAGTAAGTAGAGGGTACATCATTGATTGATTTCTCCCAGGAGAAGATAAAGTTAGAGCTAGTTGTCGGTTTGGCAATTTTTCCGGACTGGACCTCCCATTTTGCAGGCCTAAAATTTGAAAACCCTGGAACGAATGTGGAAGAAAACATAGCATCTTGTAGAGCAGACAATTCTCTTTCGAATGGTATATGAATTCGTTTAAAAAAAGCGACACTAGTTATGAGACAACCTTAAAAAGACGCTGGTGAAACTCGGGTTCGGGGGGGGGGGGGGGCACGCGATGGCGCGGCGCTCTGTTCGTCTGCTCCTCCAGGGCTTAGTCCACAGGGACAGTTACTCTTTCGCCATTAATGTGGCAGTTTCAAAATACGCGCCATCGGTGACTAAGCCTTGGTAGAGCAGACGAAAACAGCGCCGCGCCATCGCGTGCCCCCCCCCCCCCCCTTCGAACCCGAGTTTCACCGAAGACGCGAACCAAACTGCAGTCTAAAATAGTGAATGGAAAGAAGGTTACGATTATGGCAATACAGCTAGACGTACACGAGCGATCTAGGGTACTTGTATCACCGACAGTTGGTCCTGCTCACAGATCGACACTAGTAGACCTTTGCGTTGGCTAAACACGCGTTTGGCTTTCAATGGGGAGGCACTCAAGCGAACCAGTGTTGTTGAAGGGATGACGATTCCGTGAATATAGCTCACATGCTTATACTGAGCATCTCCAAAGCGCAAACCTTCCTCTGATGAAAACTCATACATCATTACTCACCAGATAGCATTAAAGGCAAGCCCCAGGATTAGCCCAACTAGTAGGAAGGATACTGCGAGGGAACTTGTAGTGTCCTTCCCTACAGAAAGCGTACCACACCCGTCGCACAAAATGCGCGGTTAGGGCGCTAATCGTTAAGGTGCTGCAACCATCGGCCCTTATTGCAACGCTTCCCACCCACCGCATTGATGTGGAGATCAGCGCGCTCTCTCGAACGGCGTGCTCTCTCGCGTGTTCTGTCTTCTCTGATCGTTTTGTCTCGCCTCGTACTACATCCGACCTTACTGGAGGTCAAGGCCTTAATTTTAGCGTTTCCGATGGCTTCTCTTGCTTTCTTTTCCACTTTTAGTTCATTCGCAGCTCATCCATCACTATGGTGCGCTCTTATACACCAGTTTTATTCCGGGGTTTGCCTTCAATTGAATTGGAAAGAAGTCGTCATTTTATTGACATTCGTTAGAAGGAATTTATTTAAATCACCATTCCCATTAGGGTGAACATTCCTTGCGCTATGGGGGCGGCCATTGAGCCTAAAATGGAGAAGTAGTAATTCCAGCGCTGGCTTTGAAGGAGTTCCGGAACCATAGCACGCTGAATCCCTCTTCTCTTCTTGCTTGATAGCCGCTCAGCCGCAACACGCCTTCAAAGGAAATAAGTTGTCCTCCCGCCCGGTATCTAATGGCTCTTCTGCCCGGTTACTAATGACTCCTTCGCAAAGTTTTTGTGTCGACGAAGTGCGTTTTTCAACACTCCGGGTGGCAAATGGGGGACAGCTCTTGAAAGTCGCAATTCCGCGCGGATTTCTTTTTTTGACAGAAATCCGTGCGCCACAAACCGGCATGGAGATTGACGCAATTAATTTTATTGGGAACATGAATAAAAGTATGTTGTCAGTTCTAGCGAACTCGCGCGAACTTTGAATCACGCTCAGTGTCCTGCAGGACGGCCATAAGACAGATTTTGGTCACTGACACTTTTGTTAGTAACAAAGGTAGCGTGTTTTACCTATCATCCCGCGCTAATGTGAACTATGGATGAGTACTGCTGACGTAATTTAGAGATGTCCTGACTTATACCTACTCCGTGAGTCAAGTCTTTGTCCTAGATTGGGTGTAAGGCAGGACTGAAGGTAGCTCTTGGCGCTGCTATTTCGAGGATCAGCCAAATCAGAATAACCAGACCCGACCACCGCGCTGCCATGCCATGTTACCTTGATTCCATGTCATTGATAATATATTGATCTTCCTTGCATTCACGATAAGTAGCCGAAGGTACGGTATCGTATAACTTC